ATGCCTTTCTTTCCATTTTGATTTTGTTGTTCTGAGTTCAAAATGAGTTGAAATAGCACCGAAATGAAACACCCGGTGACATTTTGCATGGCTCTAGTGTCCAGCTTGAGATAATTTCAAGCTTGATTTTCAGAAGGCTGGTGCTTTTCACAACAAAACAAAAATGTGAAGCCACCTTCTTAATTTTGTCTTCCGTTATTTCCTCCAAGATTTTCCTCCATTATGTAAAGTGTTTCCCAAGATGAGGAATTCTTCCATTGTTTCAAAATAAACTAGTAAACTATGCAGAGCAATATACATCCAAATAACAGAGAAAAAGTTAATGAAACAGAGGACTGGATTCTGATTTAGTCATACTCTTTCAACTTGACAGTATCAGCATTATCCCCACAATTTCCTCTTTGACTGGCATATTAAATCAAGTTGAAAATTGCTTCCTAAACCTAACACAGTTCAATAATCTAGATCATCTTTATGTTCGGGACAAACTATTTCCTTCTGGCTCTAGCTAAATAATCTGTTTTGTATACTCAGATTTTGTCAGATGCTATTACAATCAGTCTCTTTGTCAATATGTTTAGCCCCCCTCTTCCTTCCCCTCAAACGCACACTCTGAACCAACATCCAAAAACCAATAAAGCTACAGTATGTTAAGATAAAAGGAGCTGTAAAGCAATAAAGCAAAGAAATTGCATAAGGACAATGCCACAGCATCTTTAACTCAACGATCCTTCTCTGAAGGTACTTTAATATCACAGTTAAATGTGAAACTTGAGTTCAGGTAGACAATGCCAAGTGCCCAAACTAAGTCAGGTACTGAGAAAAGTGTAGCAACGCCAAGACAAATCTCTGCATAGGCAAGTTGCCTGTTTACTTAAGGTTCAAGATTAATTTTGCAGGCCTCAATGAGCTTGTTGCTACAAGTAGTATCTATGCTACATCATTTAAAGGTAGAATAGGTATATCTGTCCAAACTGCAGTCACACCTTTGACTGCACAATGGACATACAATTTTTATAAAGTAACTAAGTGGGACTAAGACAAACAATGTAGTAAAATTCAGTAAATTAGTCTAAAAGCACTTGCAAGTACACTTACAACTTGTTTTTTATTGATGGTTTATTAGTTTACTGAAGGATATAAGTGCACATATTACCATATACCTATGTAACCTGGAGAAGCCACAGTTTGCAGCTAAAACTGATCAACTCCCAATAGGACCCATTCTGCCCTCAGCACTTTCCACTGAGAGGACCCCATGCTGGCTGCTGTTGAATACTTTTTGAAATTTTGTTCACTTAATTATGGTCTCTGAAGGTATGTCCATAAGGTACAAGGAAGCCTCTGGTGCTGCATACTCCAGCTCTGGACCAGGAAGCAGCTCTGCTGAGAGAACTGATATGGTTATACCACTTCTGACCCTAGAGCTAACTCAGGCTATTTCTTCATATACTGTATATCAATAATTCATGGTATCTCTTCATATACTGTGTATCAATAGTTATAATAAGGTTTCCCAAATACCCCTTGCTAAAGCAACCTTTTAAAAAGAAAAGCATCTCAGAAATGTTGAGACACCCTTTGTGTCATCTCCCATCATTAGCTACCATGCCTATTTTCTCTGTAGTTGGTTTTTTTTAACTTTTACCAAGCTAAGCTAGCAATATAACAATGTGATACTCATCACTATAGCATCTTAGTATCAATTTATTCTTACAAGGCTTATTTCAGAAAGGGAAATACCATCTCCATTTTGCAGGCTTGAGACTAAGAAGATTCAGAGGTGCTTTGTCTAAGATCACACAAGAAGTCTGTAGCTAAGCAAAAAAAAACCCTTTTTCTCCCAAAATATTTTGTCCCAATTTATATGTGTTTGTGTAGTGTACACAGAGGTGATTGCACAATAGCTTAAAATGAAGTCTTACTCTTGTATATTGTGGGGGGTGGGTATAGGTTTGTGGGGAGCTGTGTGTGTGTGGATATAATAAAAGGCTTAGTATTTCCATTTGTGTGTCTGTCTGCCTGTAATGCTGGGGGCCAATTACGCATGTGCCCCAGAGAGGGCGGGAAGTAATTGGTTGCATGGGCACCACCCCCTCAGGCAGGGAGCTGGAGCCAAAGCCAGAGGCAGATGGAGCCCTTAGGCTTTAAAACTGTATTGACTTGCCATGACTCCTGTCAAAGCTAATAGGAGTCAGGGGCAGTAGGACCCAGAAGGAACCTCAGCAAGACTGAGCAGCTCATCCCCACCCCACCCCAGAAATTGCACTCCCTGCTACCTGGCACTGTTGGTACCATATGGCCCAGCTGCATTGCAGGAGCAGGGAGCAGGGAGATGTATATGTAGGGTGTGAGTGTGTCTAGTGTGTGTGTGTGTTGTGGGCATGTATGGTGTGAGTATGTTTGTTGTATGTGCAGCCAGGGGCAGAGTGGGAGGGTGGGTGTGGTTGTGCAGCCAGGGGCAAAGTGGGTGGGTGTAGTTGTGAACCCAGTGGGTGGGTGGTTGTGGGTATGCAGCCAGGAGCAGAGCGTGTGTGTGTGTGTGTGTGTGTGTGTGTTCATAGAATGAGTCCCACATGCACACCCCACACATGCACCCATATTCCCCTTGCACTGCCATACATACAGACCCCCACATCTATACCCCCTTGGATAGCCCAGGCACCTTCCCTCTACACACAGTCCCTCACAAACCCCATATCCACCCACACCCCGGATATCCACACACACACAGCTCCCCACAAACCTATACCCACCTCCCACAATATACAAGAGTAAGACTTCATTTTAAGCTATTGTGCAATTGCCTCTGTGTACACTACACAAACACATATAAATTGGGACAAAATATTTTTGAAATCAAATTAATAAATGCAGTAAATGTTTCATTTTTATAATATAAATTGGCATTTTTCTGGTTCCAAGTTGGCACAACCCCTTGCTGAAGGGAGTATTTCCGGGGGCAAAGGGACAGACTTCTGGTGGTAAAGATCAGAGGTTAGGGGATGGGACTTCTAGTCAGAAGATGGCGACCAGGGAGTTGGGCACCTACCAAGGGGCTGAGCTACCTATGTGGCCTTTGGCAGCTTGCCAAAACTCAATAAGTGGCCCTCCACCCAAAATAATTGTGCACCCCTGGTTTTCATGGCTGGCCCCAAAAGGGTGAGTGGAGGGGGGCATGTAAGCTCTTTCTGAAATGCTCCGTCATTCATGACGGGCAATTGGCTAGTAATCTAAAAATCTATATTTACAACATCCAACCATTTTTTTTTAAATCTACACATTTCTTAATTCTTAAAACCTTCAGACACCATTAACTGACTCCATCTTTTTAGACTGTGTTGTTCTTTTATTGATAGTTGTTACAGGTTCTGTGGGCTCTGGACCAGGAGTCAGGAGAACAGAGTCACATTCCCAGATCTACTTCGAGATATAACTAAGTCATTAAATCTCTGGATCTCATATTTCTCAAACAGAAGTAAGAAGATGCATTTACTTCCCTTGGCCACATGTATACGAGATGCTGACTGTGCGGCCATATAATTAGTAAACGACTATGCAGTAATTCAAGTTATTGAACAGTAGCGCTGAGGAATGGCCTTTGTGTGACTGATTGTGCCGTAGCCCAAGACTACTGTGCAGTAGTGTCGCACATGTTTTCTGGCAGGCAACACTACTGAGGAATAGTTTTGGGATACTGTGCAGCCAACATCTTGAGTAGACACGGCCTTGGTAAAGTGCTTTCAGACCTGTACCTTAAAACACTGTATTATTATTGTTAATTCCCCCCCCTTTTTTTTCTCAGTACTCCCACATGACACCCACATTATGGGATGCTGCAATTTGTGACACATATCAGTGAAGGAAGTTTAGAGAAAAATGAAATAATTCTACCATCAGCCAATGCTCTGTCATTCATGATGGGCAGTTGGCTAGTAATCTAATAATCTATATTTTAGGGGTAGGCTGTAACAACCATTACAAGATTCTTTCAGCAAAATCAGTTCTATCAACAGAAGCTGTAGAGTGTTGGTGTTCTGTATCTGATACATCTCATGAATCATAAACCGCCAGAGACTGCATAATAAAATTAGTACCCTGATCATAGTCTCTGTGTACCTACTGAGAGAGAAGATGTCTGCAAGCTTTTTAATCTAGCAGACATGGCATAATAGGTACCAATGGTTGGTAGTTAAAGGGAGGAATATGCAAACTGAAAAAAGACACAATTTGAGATGTGAATTTAGTAGTGACTGTAATTAACTATTAGAAAAATTTACCTAGGACTCTGATGGCTTAATTGACATTTTAAGGTCAAGAATCAGTTTATTTTCAAACAATATGCTAGAGCAACCACAAGTAACTGAATCTCAGTGGGTGATATTCTATGGTCTGTGTCAGAATAGGTTATTGATCAGTATGGTGCCTCTAGGTCTTAAATCTGTGAATCTATGGGGAAATTTCAGTCACATTTTTGTAACAGCCTATCTCATTTACACATTTTTAATGAATTAACATTTGGTAAAGTGTCTCTCCATGATCTACATACTAAGTTCCTGTTTTTGTTTTAAAGACAAACACATACAGTGTTTTTACACAATGTCTGAAGAGATGATAAGTTGCTTCCTGGTGCACCTTCTTTGATTCTTCCCACTTGTTTCTAGAAGCACCACCCCTGAAGGGCAGATGTTATTCAGTGTTTATTAAAGTTTACATTAAAGCTGTGCATAGAGACTGCAATCAAGATGTGGGGTGATGGCTAAAAATGTCGTTCAGAGGTTTGCTTTGGAAAATTGGCTTATAGGTAAAGTAAATATGCATTAGAACAATGGTCCAGTGCAACAGCAAGGGTAATTGATTTTTAAAAGCCTGTTTGTGCCTTCAAGGCCCACTGTGTTTGACAGGCAAGCAGCAAGTAAACACACAGGATGGGAAATTGAAAACATATACCACACCGTTCCATAACATATGAGAAGGTGGCACCAGGTCATAGTGCCCAATTGCAGAGCCCTTGGGATTTTTAGCTTTGGGGAACAGACCACATTAAAAGACTAGTAAAGCCCAAATTAGGATGTGAGCATGTAATGGGTTTGTGAAACAAAGAAATTTGCTGACAGGATAAAATGTGGACAATATGATGGCCACAGGGAGACCAATCAGCAATGCCCAAAGATAAAAAGTCATCAGAAGAAAAAAACCCCAAAAAATAATAATAATAAAAAAAAAAAAATTCAAAGGCATAAGGAGTCCCCAAAAGGAGGACTCAAGGCCACTATAAACAAAGGAAATATGACTAACCTAGCCTGTCTCACCCACCTCATGGGCAGGGATAGGGCTTCAGGCTCCAACCTCCAGGCTGCTAACATATAACTTTAAAAAAAACCCCTCAAAGTAATGCGTGCATACTGGCCAAACATACCTTAACTTTGTGCAGCTCTAAAACTGGTAAATATAAAACTTAAAAAAAATACTATAAGTATTCTTATCTGCTATCACTGCGTATCAGTAAAATTTGTCTATTATCAAATTAAAAGGCCATGGTCAGTCTAAGGGTTTGGGTCCACCCAAAACAAGATATTTGGGTCATAAATCCAGTGCTGATATGGGGCCCATTGTGCAAAGCACTGTACAACCATATGCTAAGGAAAAAAAATATTACCTCAAAGAACTTTTAGCCTAGTTAAAGTGACAGACTAAGGAAGAAGAGAGAAATAGGTAAAAGGAACAGCTCAAGGCAGTTCAGAGACATTGGGTGCATCTATATGTGTGCTTTAATGCACAGTAGCTTAGTTTACTGTGCATTAAAGTGTCACATAAAAGACATACAATTATGCTAATGTGCAGTAAAATAGGCTACTGTGCATTGTCACTTAAAAACCATGCACATTTGTTACTGTGCATTAAGGCAGCCTAATGTACATTTGCTTAGTACCTCACTTTGGAGGTACTAAATATAATGTGTGATAGGAAAAGCACCTTAATGCATGTGTAGATACTCCCAGTGTGGAAAGAAAACCCTATATATCATGACATCAAGTCTAGTGTCCCATCCACTGGAATAGTTAACCTGCTCTTGGTAGTGGGTCCTTCCCCACCTGCAATAACTGTATTGTAGTATTCATAAGGAAAATCTCTGGGTGAATTAACTGGTTTTTGGAGCTTCTTTAAAGTCAATGAAGGTATGTCAGTTTATACCACCTGAGAATCCAACCCCATGCTTCTATGTTAACATGGGTAATCATTTCAATGATGTTAAAAGGTGCTGGCACTTTGTTACTGCAACTCTTGTTTTGTTGTTAATTAGGTACCAACAGTGGTACAAATCAAATTTATTTCAGAAAGTATGCAGGCTAATTCATCGTATGAACAGACAAAAAGTTTTAGTAGCTTTTCATAAAAGAAGGGATGGGTAACATTTTTTGTAGCAGATTCACTTTATCCTCTGAGATTTTTTAAAGCAAATAAAGAGAAGATTGGGTTAGACAATTGTATGGTGTTTTATAAGGGATGAATAGAGGAGTTTTCATATTAATTCAGTAAAATCTACCCTTTGTTCCTATCTCAGTATGCCAAGATCCAGAGGACAGAGGTGCTGTAATAATTGGGCTATGTGTGGGCAGCATATGTTTTTTAATGAATCTGTAGTATTTGCAGATTAATCCAGCCACAGTTAAAGAATGTTGCTTAGTCTTTATTTTGCTAGTTTTTTCAATATTTCTTTTAGATATTTGCAAAGAATTTAACAGACTGTAGTAGAATTAAACATGCAATCAAATGGTAAAAAATAATGAAGCCCCATTTACACTTTGTATTTTTGTAATGGATTTAACTAGGATTGTGCAAAATTTTGGCAGCTGTTTCATTTCTATGCTGTTTTGGCTCATTTCAAGCTTGAAACAGCAAAATCAAAATGAAATGAAGGGCATTGAAACAGGCTTTGAAATGTTTTGAAAGTTTTGAAAAGTTTTGCGTTTCAAAGCTGAAGCTGGACTTTCCTGCAGAGAAGCAGAAAGTAAGAAGAGGGAGTGGGAAGAGAGGCAAAGGACACAGTGAAGGTGCATCTTAACACACATGCTGGAGAAGAAGTTCCTGCAGGAGACAAAAGAAAGGCTGTGTCCCAGTTTGGCTGCTGAGATGCTGCTGGTACTACTGTGCTGCTCTTCACAGAGTTATTATTTTACCTGTTGTTATTTAAACTGCTGGACTGGCATGAGGCTGCAGGGGAGGAGGAGACCTCACTGGGGCACACTACCGTGTCATGTAGAGGCCCCAGCACCAACCTATCTCTTTGAAAGCTGGTAGGCTTCATGACCTCAGCAGGTGCTACCATGCTTGTAGTTTTCACAACTCTGTGCCTTCACACTTACAAGTGACACAATTTTTTCTTTCAAGAATTCGAGGTGCAATTTAGCAGAAACCCCTGCACCTATCTCCTTGAATCATAGCTGGCTTCATGCCCTCCAAAGGGGCTACCATCTCTGCTGTTCTCATTCAAATCTCCCCAAAATGGACAAAGTTGTAGGCAGTTTTGTGCTTCCCCATTATAGCCTATGAGTGAAATGCTGAAACAGTGAAACAGTTTCAAAGAAATGAAATGGAACAGTGCTTCAAAATGAAATGAAACTCCAATCAAAACACTGTCCCATTGAAACAGTGAAGCAGAAGTTGAAATGAAACAGTGGTGTTTCACACAGCCCTAGATTTTACCCTCTCCAAAATCAGATAACTGCACAAAAAACATAGGTCTCTCTAATGCTACATCTGTACAGGAATGTCATATCCATCTTGATTTCTTGCTCTAAGTGTTATGATTTAATGTTATCAACCACAGTATATCCATACTTTTTTGTTATGCTGTTTTAAAGTCCCTTCTTTGTCATTTCATCTATAACAATTTTGTACTTGCTCACACTAACCATTCAGTAGTCTAGACAGATACCCCAAAGTGTAATTTTTTACAGCTTAGATGTATGCCTAGTAGAAACTACAGTAATTCTGGGACTAATGTCAAACTTACATGATTCTTTTTTTGGCACCCATTCATTTTGCCAGTCATTTCTTAAATTAATTTCTGAAAGGCTGCAGGGGTGACCCATTGCTAAATGTCATTGCCATGACAGTTATTACTATGAACAGGGTAATGATGTATGTGAATTTGGAGCCAAACAGGTGGATGGATTTGCTTTTGCCATTTCCAGGGTTGTTGGTATCACATCACAGTGACTAACGAAGGAAAAAACCCAGGAGGATGAAACCAAGCAGAGAATTTACCTGGTGTAGCTTTATTAGGTAGGATACCTCTTTTGAGCAAGGAATGATAGAAGAGTGTGGTCAGCAGTGGCAGCAGAACTTCAGGATGGCAAAGTTCTCTTCCCTCAAAATTTCACCACTTAGAAATGTATTGTTATTGCGGTCTGGAAACTTTTCACTTCCAGTTAGTACTGGTCAGTAGCTATTGCAATGGAGGACTCCAATGGTATGAGGGACTGCTTTTGTGCTGCATTATAAAGGCTAGCAATGCAAAAGAGGTTATTGACAGCTTTACGTGGATGCTTCAGAAGAAACTATAAGGACTATAGCTAGAACATGTATCTAGTCTTTGTCCTTTAACCAAACAAACTAGAAGATGCTATTTTTTCATGTTACTGCAAAGACTACAGGAGCAGGCACACTAGTATTAGGGTGGAGTAGTCTGAAAAGGGCCATGACAACAGAAGCTTCAGAAACTCCCGTTTGCTGGAATGAGCAAAAGAATGTTAATTTCAAGACAACTAGCAACACTAAGTTCAGTGACTGACCTTTGTAATCAAAAGTATTTTGTTACAACATTTTCAACAGTGTGCTTTTACAGCAGTGGTTTTCAAACTGTGTGGTGCACCGCCCTGGGAAGCATGAAGTAACATGGTGGGGGCACGATGCAGCACAGGGTGTGCGGGCAAGAAGTTTGCAAGAAGCCAGCACCTCTGCAGCCTCATGGGGGAATATCAGGGTGCAGAGCACTGGGCAGGTTCTGCCTGCACGCTGCTGCACCTCTGAGAGCCTGGCATGGTCAGCGGGCAGCCTAGAGCCACAGCAGAGCCAAGGCAGGGGATGCTAAAGCCGTGGCAGGTGGAGCCCACTCCATCGAGCTGAACTGAGCCAAGCCCCTACAGCTGAGGTATGCCCTGTGCTTGGCTGTGCTTCTCCTCTGGGGTGAGAGGGGAGGGAGGGTGTGAACAAAATTGTAATTCAAAGGGGGACTCAGCTCAAAAAGTGTAAAAATCACTGCTTTACAGGACATGTTTCCTTTTCTCAAGTGTTCTGGGAACCAACCTTCAGAGCTCTTTGCCTTCATGGCCCTCTGTTGAGTGGAATTCAATATCTCATTGAAGAGATCCTCTCCAGGTGACCCATCACCTCACTTTTTGAGGTTCATCAGCCTTTCTTCAGGACATAGCTCTTTTCTTTGTATAAAGCTTAGCATTACTAGTACTAAAGGAAAATGGAGAAAAAAATCACAAGTGATTATTGATCTATTCCAAGGCACCATAACAACTACCCACAATGTTTCTTTTCCTTCAAATTTAGGATTCCATTCCTATCTTCTTTTCACACTTTGGAATCATTTTAGAAATGGTAAGACATTTTCCAAATTACTTCCATATTAAATATGCCCCATTAGCAAAGAATGGGTCTTTGAAGTCTATATGAGTTTCAGGAATTTGGGAGACAGCAGGGGGTGGGTTAGTTAACTGCCATGAATCCCTGCAGAGTCGCCTTATATTGAAGAGTATAATCCTGAGGTCCTCAGAAGACATACAACGGTCCTGCACAATAAAAGACATTGAACAAACTGGAAACATATGTGATTTTGCTATTTATTAGCATGGGGATTATCACCGTTGGTGCAGGAATGCAAGGGAAATGCTAAGTATAAAGGCAACCCTGAGGAAGTGCCCTTGCCTTGTACTATTCATGCCAAAATAAAATGATATTTTTTCTCAACTTTTATTTTTATGGTATGTACAGATCATCATACAGCACATTGCAAAATTAATAGAAATATTTGATAGAAGTTCAAAAACCAAATGTTTTGCAATGGGTTAAAATCTCTTTAAATTTTGAAATATCTTTTAAGTTTGATATGGGCCATTTACCTTATGAATCCTGAGTTTTATTTAAAAAATGCATGCCTTAATGAAGCTGTAATCCAATATATATATTTATTATTTTTTTGTATTTCTGCAACTTACATTACAAGAAATATATACTTAAAGCAATGCATTTGATTTTTTTAGCATCAAGGTGCCAATAACTGGAGTAGGGTTTTGTGAGGAGGAAATAGTGGTCAATCTGAGAGAGGCAGCAGCTCAGGGAGAAGAACAGGGAGGCACAAAGTGGCCAATGGCATGGAATCTGTTAAAGGCAAGAAATAAAATTGTAAAGGGTGAGATTCTTTTCCACCTAAGTGAACTTAGGTGTCTAAGTGCAATTCTATTCCACTTTGTTCAAGTCCCTAAAAATCCGTTAATGCATCCACCTTTGATAGCATGCTATCATCTGAACCTTAAAATCTAATTACAAAAAACAGTTAAGTGGGTGACTCAACCTTTTATATTAACAGTTTTTCAAGGGGAAGAGGATCACATTTAGGCATGGAAGTGTAACCAGAGAGGTCAGGGTGGGGCAGGGGCTCAGGCAGGCCACCCATGCTGGTCAAAATCATATGACTGTGACCTGGGTCCTGGGGCACCAAAATATAGGTTAATTGCCACATTAAGGGCATGGTATTGTAGGCACAACTGGACTGACAATTGGGGTTGGTCACAACCACCCACTGTGCCCACAAGGCCTTGATCTTGATGTGGCACTGATGTTCTGATTGGGAGTGCCTGCACTCTTGCATCCCACCCAACAAGGCCTTATACATGTGGGCCCTTGAGCCCCCACCTCGCTTGAACTGCCAGTGCACCTCTGTATCACCCCAGAGTTCCATGAAGTCACCAATCTATTTCTGGCTCCACTTGGGGCCTCAGGCGAATGGCATGGGCATGCACATGCTGGTGGGGGTAGGCCTGGATAGAAGGAAGATATTATTCTGCTGGGGCCCTGCATGGCTGTCCCTCTATTGCCAGCCCTGGGTGGTTGCCAGCAGCACCCAGTGCAAAGGCATGGCAAGGGAGCTGTGCAGCTGAGGCTATGCCCCACAGCAGGTACAGGGCAGACTGCTGGGGTTTG